GTTCATTGTTCATTTGTTGCCTGCTTCTCTGTTGCCTGCAGAGACCAGCCTCGAGACACGGATTAGGCAATAGGGCGCTTAATTTATTTTTTTTTAAATAAGTAATTGTGATTTAAAGTATGGAAAAAGAGGAGTTGAATCTGAACAATTTTCATTTCATTTTTTTGAATTTAGGGAACCTCAAGTTGTTCCGTCTATTTATTATAAAATGCCTTAACTGAATTTAAAAATCTCATATTTTATTTTCTTCCTCCATTTTATAGGTCTACGAAAATTTCCGTTGAAATTGTCACTACTTAGAGCATAAACTTAGAATGCGCAATTTCTGCATTAAACACACGAAGCAACGAGAGAAATTGAAATTATCTTAACTTGAATACACCATCAACTGATCAAATTACGTTAAAACTAAACTTTTTTGTTCATGGTGAAATTTCGTTTGTCCATGTATCTCAACATAGAATCATTACAGAATACACTAATGCATTCAAAACGATCCCACACTACACATTGAGTCGACGAGGTTCCTTACGCTGCCACATCATCTCCACGAATGCTCCCTGAAGCAATCACCTCTACTTGGTCTTTGATATTCACACAGCAGCTCGATTTCCTCCAAATAATTCTAGAATATTTCTCAGGGCCCGATGAGCCTCCCCATAACTTGTAGCAGCGGCAGGAAACAGTTGTTCAGAGGTTTTTCCCTCGGTCCTTAAACTTGAAGGCCTTCTCCCCTTATGACTTCCCGCTAACAGCTTGTCGCAAACCCGCTCTGCATCCATTGAAGAATAAATAAATTGATAGTAATTTAATTTTACTCGTATGAATAACCTGGAAGAAAATCTATTCAGGCATGAATCATTGATATGTATAGAATTACTTAAAGGCGAATGCTTTGAGGTTTAGATGAGAAACATTCTAAGTAAAGTTAGAGGCTGGTCAGTAGAATACTTCGACTTCGCGCTCAGCTCGTAACTCCCGGCGGGAACGTTTCACACTTAGCGGCATTTCCGCTAGCCAACAAATTAGCGCTAGTGTTGTCAGCCAATAAAGCTGTGTGCTCTAGAAACACAACACGAGTAAAGCGCTGCTCAAAATATAGCTTTATTAACATGGAGGCATCTACGTTCAGAGTGTTGTACATCTTAGTTCGAAATTCAGCAAGAATTGTTTCGAAAGCATCTCACAATTTACTATTTAATAAGTGTATTTACACGCGTAAGTCTTCTACTTCTGCATGACATTCTATTTCTTCTAAATCATAAAATCTATTATTATTCTACGTACAATAATTATGATTGTATTAATACTTTTTTGGTCACGAATCCTACAATAATCAACCAATGTCCGAATGACCAAGAAAAAATATCCTAACATGTGTGAAGAGTTCAATAATCTATTTCAAATTTTATTGGGTTATAAAGAATTTAAAGCCTCTATCATTGAAAAGTATATTGGAAGATAGAGTGGTAATAAATAATTATGAACCTTATATTATACATGATGCGAATACGAGTTAAACATTGGCTTTAAGTCAAAACTCTCCGGAATTTAGATAGAAGATTTAACTTACATAAGAGATTTTAGGGTTGAACTCAAGGTTCAAAGAAAGTTGCGGAAGCTCACAATAATTATGGCGATAAATAACGACTAAATTCGAAGTTTTCTGAATCGCGTAAATTGTTTCAGACGGAAATAATATTTGACATTTTTTATCTAAATATTTACTTTAAGCATAAATATGTGCTTGATTAAAATTGTACTTTCGATTTAACATCCAAATACTTGTTTTCCAATTTGAAACTGTTTTAATTTACTTAAATTAAACTTTGATAATAAACTTTCAATCCAGACAGCGTTGTACAGTTTCATAAAAAAATAGCAGCCAAATAAAATCCATAAATTAATATGCAGTACCTTATGCTCCTGTGGAATTTTCGTCCCTTTGCTTTTTTACTTCATTGGCCGTAACCCGGTCAGTGAGAGCACTGAACATCATTATTAACACAGCAAGAAGCCCACTAAAACTTTGTAATCCAATAAGTGCTAATATTCAAGTTCCGTTTGCCATAAAGCTATTACGTTCAAAATTCTCAGCATCTTCCAGAAAACAACTAAAGTTATTCAAAAAAAAAATACTCACCGCAGCGTACTGATATTATCTACTTATATTTAAAATTTGAATAAAATCCGTTCATAATTGAAGGAGTTATGAGTGCCAGAGTTGAAAATGAAGTTCGAGCTCGCAGGCGAGTTCGCACGCGAGTTCGCTGAAGTGTCGAATCGGTAACTTTCTCAGCCCATTTGGTGTTGCCACTAAACTTACTTAACTCCCTTAGTGAAACTATTAAACTTTATCAACCCAATCGATGTGTCCACATAATTTACTCAACCAAGTTATTACGACCAAGGAAGCTTCTGAACCCTTCGGCATTGACACAGATTTACTCAAACCAGTGAGTGGCCACTGAACTTTCGTAAGCAATTCAACGAGACAATGAAATTCTAAAGACCAATTCGGTACTGTCATAAAAATTTTTCAACCTATACAGGACAACGACAAAACTTTCTTAACCATACACTACTTGAACTTCTCTGAGCATTCAATGAGACTACTAAACTTCTTTGATTTCGTCAGAGAAAATGAATAGCTCTCTGATGAATTCCAGGGCGAGGTTTTTAACACTTCCTGCTCGAATATTAACCTTTAACAACGCGTCAGTTGAATAACAACTATATTTGTTCCCCACGACTCGAAATGTTTTTGAACTCCTCTTCCTTTCGCGCCGATGATTCATTTCAAGAAGAAGACCCCTCAGCTGAATGTTCTTCATGTATGTAAGAATTATTATAGTAATTTCAAATAAATCTAATAATTATTATAGTTATACTCCAAAATCAACACTTGACTTTTGCACGAGACAGCCCATAAATAAGTCATCGTTTTCTGTGTAATTGTGGCCGTTTTCTTGACAGCTTTCTCGTGGAGTCGTGGGCCGTACAGTGGCGCCCTCAAGCGGTCGACTCCTAAGCCTCGCGTTCTTTTTGTTGTTTCTTGAGCTTAATTTAGGAGGGGATTTATCGCAGGCGATATTGGCGCAAGTTGCGCCGCCGTGGCATAAGTAACGGCGCCGAGACGACGCAGCTCCTGCAAACGCCGGTCGTGCACTCGAAGAAATGAACGAGACTTTGTCCAAACAAAACGCGCTTTCTGACCTTGGGTCATCCTCTGACCCAGTGTAGCCCATTAAAAGAGTATATCATTGCTACCCGCAGAAGAGTGTCACTGTTTGGGCAATACAGACCAAAATATTTTCCAGGCACTAAACGTTCCGATGCTGCTACTTTGTAGACCGTTTTAGCTGCTGCGATGTCGACGTTCGAGCTGCTGCGATGTCGACGTTCGAGCTGCTACTTAGGTTTGAAGCGTATGCTGCTGCTCATTGAGTTGAATGTTTCTAACTGCCAACGTCACGCCAAAACTTTTCGAGTGGTGCACGTCCTGTATCTTTCGGCGGCTTTACCAAGTCTCTGTTGAGTATCAAATGTATGGTTTGTATGTGTATAGTTTCTAGATAATATGGAAACGATGAGCTAGTTTCTTCCTATAGTTATGATCATTTTCACTTTCCAGGTTATAAGACAAAAAATTTTTTATGTTAGTGGGAGAGCGGGAACAGACTAATAGGGAACGTTCCATGGCAAGACTGAGTAATCGAAATAAACTTCGGCGTGACAACGTCGTAGATTGACAATTGGTCGGAATAATAGGGCTATCATGAGTTCATTTGAGAATTAAATTAGCAAATTTCATAGGCTACATCTCAAATAATTATTATTTTATTGGTTAATTTCTTACAAGCTCGAATAATGCATAAGTTGTAGATCAGAAATTGATCTGGAAATCAAGAATGCAAATTATAGGCGTAAATAATTTTGGATTTTGTGTTGACGCTAAAATTAGTCTTAACGATTAGAACAAAACGTGTCTATGAAACAGAGGTATTGAAACGACCAACCAAGAGAAAATATGTAACTTAACACAGAAACTCCAAAAACACCGTTTTTACAAAAGTGCGTATAGCCCACATAACAAAATATCCATTTTCTACCGCACCAATTAACGTGTAATCGATTTGAAAAAAGACTGAGACTTCATAGAAATAATGGGCATTTATGTCTATTCACATGGTAAAGTAATGAATAATTCAGCCATCGGAAATAACGTCAATATGCTTTACCCAGCAACTTAAATGATAAATTTCGTCATTGTAGCGTTTTGACCTCAGTCGTAATAGTTTCCGTGCGCGCGAGTTTCACTTCAACGAGATCACTGTTGGTCCTCAGCAGCAACGAGGACTCTAGTTCCTCACAACTCGTCCCACGCAGCATCACCTCACACTTCGCATCCTCGTTACTACATTCGTCGGATAGGCTAGGTGAAACTTGACCCATAAGAGATTTCATTCTAGACATGCATTCATCATCACCTTCAACCAGCTTCGATTTTACAGCGCCACTCCCATAACCGTCGTCGAATTTCTTGAAGATACCTGAGAACCCTCGTGCTAGCGTATTTTTTGCAGTCGTTGCTGAAATTACGTTTTTGGCTCCAGCAACTCCTGATGGAATACGGACCTCCCTTCCTGCGCGGTTGCCGTTCATGGTTCCCTTACCCAGCGTGGCATCAGTGATAGTAGTCGCTAATTCCATTTCATCATTCGAATTCAAATTCTCGGATTTGAAGCAATGCAACTCAGTGTCTTTTTTTATTGTGTTCAGGACTGATTTATCATAGGAAATGAATTTGGTGCCGTCATTCGAGAAAGTAACAGACTTTCTGGGAACAGTTTTGTTGGAAGTTTCACAATAAATTGGAATATTTCTCACCACAATATTTGTAGGCTCTGTGCCGTCGGGAGACGATCGATCTTCGATTTTATTTCTGGCCTCGCCAGTCGTCGGCGTGGCCTCGCCAGTCGTCAGAGTGGCCTCGCCAGTCATGTTGCCACCGGAGTGGCCTCACTAGTTGCCGCCGGAGTGGCCTCACTAGTTGCCGCCGGAGTGGCCTCACTAGTTGCCGTCGGAGTGGCCTCACTGGTTGCCGTCGGAGTGGCCTCATTTGTTGTCTTCGGAGTGGCCTCACTTGTTGCCGTCGGAGTGGCCTCACTTGTTGCCGTCGGAGTGGCAGCGATTTTCGCCGATGAGGTATCGACTTTCAGCAGAGAAAAGATTTCAGCTTCTGTAAAATCAACACCTGATGTTGCCGATGTTTCATCGGGCGTCTTAACTTTTGCTAAGCAATGGACGCTTGAGGTCATGGAGTCCGCCAGACCAATGTCGTCCTTTATTTTGTCTCCAGCAGCCGAAGATGGCGCAGGTGTTGTACCAGAAGAAATTTCCACAAGATTGTTAACGACGATGTTTTCGCTTGCACAATTTTTGTCATCACTAGTAGCACTGAAAGGTGGAACTGATATTGCTGCATCGCTGGAATTATTTTCGGCGGTTGTCTTCGGATATTGATCGTTTCCACAAGAGTGGAGGCTTTCGGAATCGATTGCAGCTCCAACCAATGAATCGGCTATCACGGGATAAGAATCACTTCTATCGGTAGTTGGGTTCATCAGTGGCTCAGCTTCTTCATTCATGGTGGACTTAGTGTCAGTTGTTGAATTGTTTTCAAAACCTGCCGGCGATGTTCGTCCAGCCGAGCTACCGGTACGGGGAATCTCAGGTGGCACTGCGATGTCAGCTTCTGTATCTCCGGGCGGATCAATTGTTTTCCCGCAGCAGATAAGCAGAAGAAAGAATGCCGCGATGAGGCAGATCCCTCCCCCGATGATCGCCAGCTCCCTCACTTGAACCGCTGCTGCAAACCAAAATTATGACGAGTTAGAAGCTGCTCAATAAATTCATGAAATATTAATTACGTATTAGAATGTCATCACACATTGTGATGGAAGGAAGGCCATTGATGACCTTTAACTACGCGAAGATTTCATGTGTCGTCAACATACGAGGCAAGTGACGGAGAGTGCGATTGAAATTCACATTCTCTTCTTTTCTGCCTCGAATAAACAATGTAACGAACGGGAAGCAACTTAAACAGAACTTGAATGTATTAATGCAATAAAATCTTACCAAAACTACCACAGAGCATTAGGGCAAACATTATGATCATCGAAAGCAGATTTGATTAATTCTGTAGTATTCCTAATTTTCAGAAGATTACATCCACACTAAAAGTCGGGGCTCCTTATGCTGAAATCTTTTGGTAGGAGTGATAAAAATGGGTGAAATTTCCCTACCAAGTACGGAAGTCTATGGATATTTTCAATAACTAAGTTATAAGAAAATGAGCGTTACTGATAAAAACTGACCTAGTGATAAAAACTGACCTAGGTAGTGATAAAAACTGATAAATAACTTACAATATTCATCATCGTCGTCTGTGGAGTTCGAGCTCCCATCCTGTAAAGGCAGAATATTCTAGAAGGAAATAATAGTAAAGAAAAAAAAATATCTATCAAAAAACGATTCAGGTAGCGAAAATAAAGCCCGCCAAGATGATAAAACTTTGCAGCAAAGATTTTTATTTCTCATTCAAATTCACGTTTTTACGGTAATAAAAGATATGTAAAGTTCACCAATAAATTAAAAACTGATTGTTGAAATGGGCAATCCGATTGTTCCATGTTACCTATTTTGAGTTACTGAACTTAAAATAAGAGACTTGACACTCACATCACCAATGATCTCAATCATTTCGTGCGCCATGTCTTCTACAGAATGACCGGTGTCTTCTGTGATAATATCCTGCGAAGGCGAATTCAGTTCTTCTTCACTGGAACGGAGCTTCACGACACTGAGCTTGCTTGGTTGTTGTTCAGCCTTTATTTCATCAACAGGAGGAACATTATCTTGCATTGCTACATGATTTAGTCGACTTTCTGATTTTTTCAGGACTTCCGTACCTGAAAGAATGCCCGTTTCGTCTGCAGCTCTTTTGCTCTTTGCATTCAAAGTGACATCTGTACCCCGCCAGTATTTTGCAGTTTGCGCGGTATTTTCTTCATTTAGATTAGACTTTATAGCTTCTTTTTGCGTGCCATCTGCGGTATTAATTTGTACTTTGCCATCAAATTTGTTGATGACAGAAGGCTTGTGACGATGTACGTTTAAATTTACCATGTCTTCTTGTATAATGGCTTCATTTTCATTTATTTCGCCCTGGGAGTAAGTTTCGGCATCCGACTCAACTCTTGTGTTGGAGCTCGAGAGGTCGAAGTCCCCTGTAGAATGAGTAAAATCAGAAATTGATTCACGAGGACAAGGGTTTTAGTTTTCATTATGCATTGTGAAAGCTTATCAATTTCCTTCTATGCAACAACATAACTTTTTACTCCTGTTTTAAGTGAGGCAACTTAAATTATTTTTATTAAACATCGATCGAAAGACTGCAACTGCTCGCTTACAGTATATATATACTGCCTAAAGCAACGTCTCATTGCATTTAAATGCACCGAGTCGTTCAAGACTTACAAATATTGCAAAAAGAGTAAAAGTTTAAAGTAAAATAATTCAATTTGATGCAAATAATTATTAGAAAAATTTTTCATCAATATTTCTTCGAATTCATTTGGGCAGTGTGGGAAGCCGGACGTTTTTCGAGCATTCATTCATGCTAATTTTATCTAATTCCAATTTCATAATTAGTAAAATTCAATGATGGAGAAATTAGATGTACCTGCTACTGAATTATAACGATGAACAGAAAGCAGCAACAGCAGGCCAAACAGCCGCGCAGCCTGCAGTGCTCTGAACACCATCGCTGAGTCCTTGGTTTTCGGCGGCTATTTCTGATGACCTGCAAATCGACTTCTTTTGACGACCTGAAAGTAGTTTTTTTCAAAGCTTTCAATTGTCTGCGGAGATTCTGAAATATAATCACAAGGTCTAATGAGGACAGTCTCGATTTAACCTCAAGTCCTCAACTACGATTTAACTACGTATTATGGCCTGCAAAGAACAAGATGAAATTCGTACTGCAAAAAATGAAGTTAGTGAACAAATTAGAATTGGTAATTCAGTTCAGGTACAATAGAACAAATTAGTATAATGAATGTTTAGCGAATACAAATTCGTGTTCAAGTTTGAGTTGAAAACGAGCAACGAGTCCTGCAGTCGTGCCTGGAGGCCACGAAATTATACACGCAGCAACACGCAAGTGGAAAACAGTCAACGTCATCAACTTCACATCTCATTCCCCGGTTCAAAAAAACCGCATGTATTTTATTTTCTATACGGCAGACTGGGCTGCAACGCAACAGTGCGATGAGATAGCGACTGACGGAATGCATTCGTTAATTAAATTCGAATTTTGGTCAACAAAACATACGTCATGCAGCAGCTGTTCGAATTAACGAACTCGTTATCTGCTTCGGTATCTTTTAAAATAATCGGCATGACGTGCATGACGCGCCAAACGGTCCACCCGCCCAACATTTGGAGGGAAAAACGATTTTGGCTCAATGGTTTTGCCGCAGTAAAATGAATTAGGTTTCTGATAAAAACTACACCGGGAAGTTCGGTGGGGCGTAGGGGTGGAATTATACAGTTCTGATTAGTATCCGTTCACCGTTCCACACAGTCGCGCAGTGTTACAAGACTGCAAATAGGCGTCTTTCGTCAAGTCTACTCATGTTTCATAGATAATATGCACACCACCAGTAGAAATAAATAAATTATTACAATATGTGAAAACAGTTCTCCCTAGAATTGCACCCATTATTATTACTTGGTGGGCAATGCTATGTCAAGGGAATTAGAAGGGATACAATTTAGGTATCTTACAGAGTGCCTATAGCAAAGCAACAAACCTTTTTTTTAAAAACATTTTATTTGTTAAATAGTGAAAAAGTTTAAGAATAATTTATTTATATGTGAAATAGTGGAAGAAAAGCGGATTAGCTAGTCCAGTTTTAAGTTACAGTTGATGTTCGTGAATACCGATTTACGCAGCCACATAGCCTAGCTAACTCGAACACTACCGGTAGCATAGACAGTTCGCGGGTTGTGAATATTCTAGGTAGTATGCGAGCGTGTCAATGAATGCATTCTGATTAGTCCCAGATAGTTGGCGGTGTTCTTGCCACAACACTCGTTCAGTCAGGGGATGAAACGCGACCTTTACACAAACATTCTTCTGTGCGGGATCGTGTTGATGGATTCATCGTCTCGAGGCATTATTCATAAAAAAAAATTAAAACGACTCTGGACTCTCTTTCGCAATGCATACCCTATATACATAAAGTAATAGCTTACCCTCAGGCACTTAATTAGTTTTTTGTCATATAAAGAAGCAATTTAAGCCGTAGCATGAGATACCATGCCGAGTATATACCACGACTGTACAGTACAGCTAGCTAGGCTAGCTACGGTGAGCCCAAACAAATAAATGCATATTAGACATTTGTTTAATATATATGCATATATTAGAGATATAACATTGACGTGTTCGTCAAGAACTAACAGACAAAATTGCAGATTCATGCAGAGAATTTCCCTCAAAAATTTCATTGGGGATTTGGGAACTGAAAGAAAGTGTGAATAGCCCTACTGATTGAAGTGTTCTAATACTAAATGCTGATTGAAGCCTGATTTTAAACGTTTGCAATGGATTATCTGAGATGACGGTATGTCTTGCATTCATTATAAAGTCTCCTGTTTAACATAAATAACAACAATAGTGAAAAATCTAAATTTATAGTATCTCAAAGATTTCACTCGAACAATTCTGACCGCGCAACAAACTTCTCTGTCAAGAGTCGCGCGTTTCTTGGTCGTCGTCCTAACCAACGGTTTGAGTACAATTTTTATTTGTCGTTCAGTCGTTGTAGCTAGCTAACTACAAGGTAACGATTGCCAAGCAAAACTCACTGGTGTCTAATATTTCCACTTTGCTTGCGTCGGATCATTAAACTACCTAATTACACGTCACTTTCATTCTACACATCTCACTTCATCATTTAGCTAACCTTCACTGCATTAAATATGATTAGGTAGACGGGCATCTGCTGTGCGTGAGCCACGAGGAGCTTTGGAGCGGTGTTGCAGGAACTGCTTTGTCTCTGTGGTAAGGTTGACGGTTTCAGAAATGCGGATTTCAAATGGTTTTATCTCAATGATGTCATATGAGCGAAGATTATCATAGAGGTAATCTATAAGTCTGAATTTTACGTGACCTCTTTACCTTACACTGCTATCTCGTTCATCGGGTAACATTTGTGAATAATTCACGAGTAAATATTATTATTGATTTTAAAATTGATTCATTGGTTCCACAACTCAATCGACAATTCTACGGACGCGCCAGCGGACTCGCCTGCGGACTCGCGCAACTGGGCCACTCATAATTCCTTAAATACTTAACGGATCTGTATGAATTTCGGAATATGAGTAATAATTATCGATACGCTGCCGCAGGAATTATTACAGATTTTACATAAATTATTTTTTATTTAAAACCAATAAACGTATTTTTACGCAACTGGGCCACTCATAATTCCTTCAATACTTAACGGATCTGCATGAATTTTGGAATGTGAGTATTAATTATTGATACTCTGCCGCAGGAATTATTAAAGATTTTTACATGAATTATTTTTTAATTAAAACCAATAAACGTATTTTTTAAGCAACTGGGCCACTCATAATTCCTTCAACACTTAATGGATCTGTATGAATTTTGGAATGTGAGTATTAATTATCGATACGCTACCGCAGGAATTATTACAGATTTTTACATGACTTATTATTAGGTTAGGTTAGGTTATGTTAGGTTTCATGTAGAAATCTAATAAGAATTAGTCCATAGAATTGTCGATTGAGTCACTATCAGATTGAGTCACTGAATTCGTTCTGATATTAGTCCATTCAATAGTCGAACTGATGATGGAGCTGGACTCCGAAACGTTTTCAATATCGATATGGTGAATTTTCTTGGCGTTTTCTTTGCTTTTAAATTCCTTATTCCAAAATTCATACAGATGCGTTAAGTATTTAAGGAAATATGAGTGGCCCAGTTGCGCGAGTCCGTAGGCGAGTCCGTAGAATTGTCGATCGAGTGGTTCCACAGCGTACTTTTAAATAATACCCTACCCTCGAGATTTATTTTTATTATTTAAATTCGATTCGTTCATAAAGTTCTATTCCAATCAATTTTAATTATCTCGCTACGCTTTCTCCTCCTCATATCCCTACGTTAACCTGGATCATGACTTTCTTCTCATAAGTATTCCTCAACCCATTTATCTTTCGAAATTTTGACTCCTTCAATTTTGCCCGCTTTCATCATCGTGCCATTTTTTCCATTCCTCGTTCCTCTCTCCTGTCATCCCGCAACGGACTCATCTTTCTGTTCGCAGGTTTATTCATTCTTCCTATCAATCATTCCTCTCTACTCATTCCAATCTCGTTCCCTTACACTATCCCCAGTCCTAAATCCTACTCCTTCCGTCCGTAACTCCTCACCTATTTGTCTTTCTCCTTTCCATTCCTCTCACCCTACTCCGCCATCCCCATATCCCCTCCCCTTCTCCGGAGCCTCAATCCATCCGTTATTTTTCAGCGCCTCTCAAGAAAGTCCCCGGCAAAAATCGTCCCCTTTGATCCTCATTTTTACCGCCTACAAAATGGTGACTAAATCTAATTGCATGTGTCTTTCAGGCCGCCTGCAAAATGTCTTCAAGAGCCTGTGTTTTTCCTCGGCTTCGCTCATACAAACTTCACAAACTCTGTGCCATTATTACGTATCCATTTTTCATCAATACAATTATTATGAGTCCCTCAATCACGATCCTATAATTACACGTGTTTGACGCCTTTTTTGACATAGATGATAATCAATGCTGAATTGATAGTAATCTCCAATTCTTCTGTACAGAATATCATGCTGCTGTTGAGTATTTTTTTTACATGGATGTATGGGTTAGAAATATTCATTCTTCCTTATATGCTTCCTTGCCGATCTTCAACTGAATACATGTTGGTTGTTATCGCTATTAGTTCATTTCCAGCTCAGTTATTTCATTTGAAATGTTATCAATATTAAGTTAAAGTATAGATACTCGATATATTTCAATAGTGCAAACGATAACGAATTTTATAAAATGTTTCAGAGGAAGAGTAATTGTGGCATGAATACCTTTACAAATTAGTTGGGTCTGCTTATACGTGTAATAAGCGGAGTGGTTTTATGTTTATAATTCCTGTGAACCTATTCAAGTTTTCGTAAAATATGACGCGCGTTTATTTTTTACAACACTTCTCTTTAACTTGAGTTCTTGCTGTTTATGTCTGCTACAAATCTTACAATCGATATTAAACACACTTCTACCTGTCCAATCGATCTGAAATTATTCACAGTGGGGTAAAGTCGGAGACAATGCTTACACCAAGTGACAGAATAAATAATTTTACAAATTTAAAATATTGTTTAATATTAAAGAAAAATTTAGAAAATAAATTTCTTTAATATATGAAAATAAAATAAGAAATTCATTGTACAAGCGTAACATAGGAGTCTCCGGCCACTTTAGAAGTGTTGTCTTTAGAAGTAATTTTTAAATACATATTATTATTACGATATCATTCACTTCAGCATTTGTTAAATTAAACATAATAAAAAGACACGATAATTTTTTGATAATGGCAGAGAAATGCATTTATTTGTATCCAAGCTACTTCCCTCACCCACTAATTCTCGCAAGAAAAACTGGCCCGAATTGAAGTCTAATAATGGAACCCCCGTGGGCTCGCCGTACATTCTTCTTAAAATCTCGTTTTGTAATTAGCCTCGCAAGGATGCGAGGGAAGAAGGCCCTTCTTTTTTTTGCTATTTCAGACGAGGGAGGTCGAAGTGCTTTGCATTCCTTGCACAGTTTTACGAGAGAGAGTTTTGCGTAGATTCTCGGTAGGAGCTTTAGATTTTTTATCTCATTTGAATAATTCAACTGAAGCGGTACTGAATTGCA